TTTCCATTCAACAGATTTCACCTTCTCAGAAAACATGACCAACCCATTAGAAGAGGAAATGACAACGTAAAGTTTTACACAGACGTCATTTAAAGTGTCCAGATGTTAGTCTAAGGAACGCTTCATACAGTAGGTTGTTCTTTTAGGTTTGCCATCTACTATTCCATCCTGGGAGCCGTCGTGCTGGTTGCGGCCTACCTCCAGGTGTCTCTCTGGACTCTGGCTGCCGGGCGGCAGGTTAAACGCATCCGCAAGTTGTTTTTCCACAGAATCATGCAGCAGGACATCGGCTGGTTTGATGTGAACGAAACAGGAGAGCTCAACACACGACTAACAGAGTGGGTAGCAGAGACATCACATGATGCACACACACAGTTTGGGAAGTGGTAGTGTTGCTTTGCTAATAGGATCGATCTTTGGTTCTTTTTATCCTTGCAGTGATGTCTACAAGATCCAGGAGGGAATTGGTGACAAGGTGGGGATGTTGATCCAAAGTTTTAGTAGCTTTATCGCAGCTTTCATCATCGGTTTTACCAAAGGATGGAAACTGACTCTCGTCATCCTGGCTGTGAGCCCAGCTCTGGGGATCTCAGCTGCACTTTTCAGTAAGGTACAGAAATTCAAACCGCATTGGTAGATATTGTTTTGGTGTTCTTTTTGACTGAAGGAGCCTCACTTCTGCCAGCCTCAGTTCAATCCCCCAACATAGCATTCTGCAAGTTAGAGGATATGACTAGCTGAAAGTTTGCCTCTGAAGATGCACAGCCATCACAGTGGTGGGAAGGGTTAGGGATTAAACTTTGGCTGTGGTTTTACAACCCTTCTTGGAGAAGTTGTTTGGTGACAGACAAGCTGGCATCCGTTTTTTTTTTTTTTTGCTTTTCAGTTTGATATGGTGGTAAATTGCTAGGCCAGTAAGAAGCGGCAAAAGGTGGGTTGCTGTAATTGTGACTGCTGTCTACTAACTAGTTAATTATCACCTTTCCGTGTGACTGCAGCTAAATTAAAGTACATAGCGTAGTTTTGTCTTATGTTGTGTGCAGGCTAACTGATAAGGTGGTAAGCGGTGCGCAGGATTCTCACCAGGTTGTTGAAGAAGCATAGTTACGCCCACTGTGCTTAAATGCACTGGGAGAAGGCCCAGATGTCAGTCACACAAAGAAATTTTTTTAAAAGCAATGCATTTTTTGGGCATGTTTTAAGTTTTACACCTTTTTTTTATTGTTTCAACGACTTAGACAACTTCATTTACAGCTTTCAAAACATTTCCATTTCTTAAAGTGCAGCAGTGATCAATGTATTTATTTATTTTTTACTCAAGGCCTCTTCTATTGTACAGAACAACAACAAGCACAGAACCAGCCCTATTTTATATTATCTTTAAAGTGTGATCTTTATGTTTTATTGGTGCAGAATGTTATTACATGACTTTACAGTAGTTTTTAAGACTATTTAATGAACTCTCACCATTTTGGTAAAGGTTTCACAAGTTAAAAATTGGGTTTAAAAGATTCTGCTCTGACTATAAAACCATTTAATCCAGGTTTGTGGTTTCTAATTATTGTAGTTTGACCCTAGATTAGAATAAAGATGTTTTTAGGTAGTAACACAAAGAGGCATAATACCCTTTTTAGCATTTTCCCCATATCTGAACCCACAATCCCACATCAACTTCAGCCTTGTGAACCCACTGCATTATGAATCACAAATAACATATATAATGACAAAAATTGATCAGTTTGGGTGTCTGTTATTTTTTTAATAATGTCAGTTTAAGGACATTTTATAAAATCTATTTTAACAAAAAATTGCTAACAATGTAAAAAACTCAGCCAGCCCATAGCTATGATTTTTAGCTCAGTTGGCTAAAGTTAGCTATTAGCTTTTACGGTTGTAACCGCTGATTGGGTTAACATTGGTGGCTAGTTGAAGCACTTTGGGATTAAAGTCATTAAAGCTGATTAACCTTTTATACTACGATGCATACTGACATTCAGTCATGTAGTGTATGTTGTAGACACACAGTAGACTTCAATAATAATTTTAACATCATTATAATGGTCTATAACATTATTAACTTTTTAATTCTCCATGTGGACATTGTTACTGTTAAGTTGCGCTTTTTAAGACTAATACTGTACTAAGGCCTTTAATAGACTATTGCATGTGTTGACGATAAAGAAGTACAGCTATAGCCTGGCCAACCAGACTGTCTTATGCTGCATACACTGCATATCAGCCTGGAAAGGTGCAGGTAGAGCCTGATTTCAAAGCAGAATTAACTGGGGCAGAGGAAACCGGTTAGGACCAATCAGATAACCACAGATGCAATGCAAATATGTCTCACTAAAATAAAATGTTCTTGCAGCCAGTTGTTGAAATTGTTATAAATATAAACAGCTCTTTTGGGACATAATAAAGAACATAATTTAAAGTTGCTGTGTTGCAGCTGCAATCTTGACTATTGTGGTTACAGAAAAGCGCTGTTGCATTATGGACGTGGCGCTGTAACTGCTCCAGTCTGTTTAAGACCAGAAAATGTTGAGCTGCCCATTTTAGCTATTGTTCATAAAGTGTGTTCATAAAGGTAGTTCCTAGCAAATCTATGTACATTTACAATGGCTTGTGCTATTATTCCAGCTTATTCATTTATTATCTGATAATTAGCAGTGTGAGCGTTACTGATTTTCTAGGGGTGATTATCTGCTACCTATGCAGCCTGCTGGGTCCTAACTTCCAGCATAACACAGAACAGAACAATGGCCTAATGGCCTATTGACAGACGATGTGTATGCAGCAGGAGATGCTGAAAGTCTTAACAATTCCACTATTTGCCATTAATAAGGTCTATGTGCATCTTCATAACCTTTCCTATCAACAGAATACATACGGTAGTATTGCTTGAGATGATCTGTACGTTGACTGCATTACTGCATGTGTGTGATCTAAATCTATCAGCTGTCAGATCTGCACATGTTACATTATTGACGTTTACTGTTCATTCTTAAGGTATTAGTTGGTCATTTAAGAAAAATGACAAGTAACACCTTAAAATTTACTTTTTTTTCCCTGCAAAGGAGCAATTAGGAAATGCATATGTTAGGCTTTCAGTTAATCTTCTATTGTTATCTCATTGATGAATATCTGGTCTACCTCATGGTCTTTTTAAGAAAGCTGCAGACCTGTATTCAACTTGATTACTTACATGGCTGCACTTGTTGAGCCTTGGTTGGCCTTTGTAAAATGGATAAATCCAGGAAGCCCTAATTGTGCTAGGTCAAGCCTGGCTTTCTCTAATTCTGGATGCCAGGATGAGATATTTTTCCTCTGGATTGCAAGGAAACCATCATGTTTTGGTAAAAACTCAGAGCAAGGACCTTATTCAGATATTTCTTATCAGTTGACATATCCATGATGTTGTGAGATTGCCCTGGTTTTAAAACATCAGTGTTAGACACATTTGGGCCTCTTTCTATGTGAACAGTTGCTGACAAACTTCACTACCAAAGAACAGAGTGCATATGCCAAAGCTGGTGCTGTTGCAGAAGAAGTCCTCTCTGCCATCAGGACCGTGTTCGCCTTCAGTGGTCAAAAGAAGGAGATTGAGAGGTGAGTTTATGGAGGCTAAACATTGGCTGCAGCTATATTTAAAATCCACTTTACTTTAGAAAAAAATGAAAGGGAGCTTTTATTTATTTTATTTGTTAAAACCAAATAAGATATATCCTGTAGAGATTGATGCTGTGTAGTAAAGTAGTTAGTATCAGCAGAGAAAGGCTGTAATTGAATAACAGTATTTTTATGGACACACTAATGTTGCATTTGTTGGGTTTCTGTTACATTGCAATTCAATTTCACTGGTGCGTATTTGTGACCTTTTCCATGCCTGGTTCTGAGTATGTGGGCTTTATTCTAGATATCACAAGAACTTGGAAGATGCTAAAACGATGGGAATAAGGAAGGCAATCTCTGCTAACATCGCCATGGGATTCACCTTTCTGATGATCTACCTGTCTTATGCTCTGGCCTTTTGGTATGGCAGCACCCTAATCCTGAGTGGGGAATACACCATTGGATCTGTGCTCACAGTAGGCAAACACACATTGTCGGCTTGATCTGTTTAGCTCAATTTAAGATTAAAGTAGTGTTTGCTAAATAAGAGCTTTATTTCCTTTTTATTAGGTATTTTTTGTTGTGATAATTGGAGTGTTTGCAATGGGGCAAACGTCTCCCAACATTCAGACGTTTGCTAGTGCCCGCGGAGCTGCCTATAAGGTGTACAACATCATCGATCATGTGAGTAATGCAACAGATATGAACTAAAGCACACTTTTTGTCTGAAGGCGTGTTGTCAGATTTTATCACTGAATATGCATTGCTGCACTTTGGCACAATGTGAGGTTCCTTTGAAGCAGCCAACAGCCAACTATAATGACTTTAAGGACTTTTCTCTAATTGGAGCCCCTGCTGCCTCAGAGAAGAACTTTGGGTCATTCAGTTGATGCTGCACAGTTTTTTTTTTTTGTGTAAATTCACTTTCATTTAGTGAATCCAGCTTATTTTCTCAAATTTCACATCCACCCAGTGACTTTTAATGCAAATTGTTAAACATTAACTTAATTTTTCAAACATTTTTCTTAAAGAGTAAAAAATTATTATGAATTAATCTAAAATAAGAAGCCTTCTTGTTGGGCTTAGGCTCATGTGTGCATGCATTTTTAAAATGAAGAGTTCTGCAGAAATCTATTTCAAAAAGCAGGTTTACTCAACATCTGTTACTGTAGGAACATTCCCCCCAGACTAACCTTTCCTGATTTAGTCTGGAGATTTTTGTTGCAGTTCTGTGCATACAATAAAAAATATTCACTCGGTTTGTTAAGACACAATAGGTTTTTTAAAAATGTATATGTTATATAAACCTATGATTTAACCCGAGCATCAATCTTCTTCAGTGCCATCTTCCATTCTTTTGCAGCTGTAACACATCCTCCATTTTTTTTATTCTTTGAAATATCTAGTTACAGTGGTGTGAAATTGGCACTTCCCTTTGCCTGTTGTCATGGTGACTCTTTGAATCTGGGCTCCACTGATGATGGTTTTTCAAACTTGATACGCAAGTGTTCAACTGAGTGGACCTACTTAGAGTTGATTGAACTAATTCACAGCAGGCTTTATGAAACTGAAAACTCAGTTTCCAATCTTAGGCTAGACAAGTTTTCAAACTTATTGACCAAGGTGTTTTAATTCTGACATAGTCTAAAAAAAACCTTGGGATTATACCAACGTTGCTCCATTATTGTTTTAAAAGCTGTTAACGAAAGTTTGGAAAATTATGTATCTTTATATCCCTCTCTCTTGGTACTTAAATTTCAAAGTGCAAAGGTGATTTATATAACGTTTTACTGCACAAGCACAAAGGTGAGCCTTAAACAAAGCAGCAGTTTACCAAAGCATACAGTACTGTGATAAAGCTTTAAAACAGCTCTGTTTGTATAGTTTGGCCTCATTTTTAAAAAAGATGTTGAAATTAACAGGAGGTCTTTTGATACGTGCTTTTATGGCAGGGGATATAGAAATCTATCAGTAGTGGGTCATTGTTGTTTTATTTGAACAGAGGTCATAGTCACTTAGACAAGAGACGACTCACCTAAGTAGGTCTTGAGGCTCTATTCTTCTCAGAAAATTACATATGTCAAAATATGGTGTGATATGATTTATTCATGATAATTAATTTGAATATAAGCATCTAACCTAAAGAATGTTTTACAGAGCAAATTAGGGGAGAGGATAACTTTAACATATTTCTGAGTCTTAGTGCATCAAGAAAAGCAGTTGAAAACACAAAGAAGTAAGGAAATAAACATTTGGTCTCACTAAATCTGCTCACTCTAACATGGAAGGCGAACAGCCTTCCTCCTATTGTTCGTTTGAAGTTATTGTCGGGAATATTTGAATCCCGATTTGGAAAAGAAAACATTTTCATATTTCTGTTTTTTTTTTATCTGCAGAATCCAACTATCGACAGTTATTCAGAGACTGGGTTTAAGCCGGACCTGATCAAAGGAAACATAGAGTTCAATAACATCCACTTTAGCTACCCGTCCAGGCCTGATGTCACGGTTGGTTCCACATCTACTGCTCTGTGGAAGAACTTCTACAGTAATTTTTTGTCAGTTTAAACAGCTAACAATGGAATCATTGGTGTCCTCCTCAGATTTTAGACCAAATGTGCCTAAGTGTGAGCAGTGGACAGACCATGGCGTTGGTTGGTAGCAGTGGATGTGGTAAAAGCACTACGATCCAGCTGCTGCAGAGGTTCTACGATCCTCAGGAAGGATCTGTAAGTGATGTTTTTATTGTAAACTATAGTGAATACTTTGTCAATAAATTTGTGCTTTTGCAAATATAACTCAGAAAGATGTATATCAAACAGGAAAACAGGATCTAATGGCTTTTTGTTTAAAATAGAAAGCACTACCATTTTTACTGTTAATATCATTATTATTGTAATGTGTGATATTGACATATTTTTGCAGGTCACCTTGTGAGGAAAACAGAATAAAATCAGTGTTACTTTCCTTTTTTCTTGCAGAATATTATGAGGTTTCCCTATTCTGCCGTTTGTAGAGTAACACAAAGGCACTCAAACAAGCTGATATAAATAGTTAAATAGTTAGAATCTGTTGGCTTTCTAACAGAAACAGCACTTGTTGCCAGACATATTTTTATTTGTGTTTATTTAAAATTAATTACATTGATTTTGCTATAGTGAATTGTTTAAAAAATATATATTTTTTACTCAGCAGAGGCCTAAAACTGCACTAAAGCAAATGTAGAATTACCTCATACCATACCAGTTTATTTACAGTGTTGGCAATGTTACTTTGAAAAAGTAATTATTTATAGTTAGTTACTAGTCACTTCTCCCAAAGTACCTACCTGCGCGGTTCCGTACCTTCTAGTGGCGATCTACTGTATGGTACTGCTAAGCACACCAACATGGTGGCGCCTGTGAAATTCAGGAAGTTATGTTTTGTTATAATTGTGATTTTTCATTTGTGGAGAGTCAGGCAAAGAAGGCAGCCTTTGGTGAATTTACTTAACAAGAGTCAGCTTTTGGGAAGTGGATACGACAAACAATATTCAATTTCAATTCAATTCAGTTTATTTATATAGCCCCAAATTCACAACACAGGCAGGCAGACGAGCTCCGAGCCAGCTCCCATGCCAGAGGACGAAGAGAGCACATCC